TCAACTGGACTTCCGCAGTTGATGCCCCCAGCTCACCTCTTAGACTTAAGTGGGGCCTGTCCCCCTACAGTGGGATTTTGGACGAAAAATAAAAAATACCCAAAAATACCCAAAAGATGCCCCAAACAAATAAAAAAAAGTGACCCCAGACTATTTTTTGACTATTTTTGTTTAGCCCCCCTGTAGAGGGGCAGGCCCGACTTAATCTTAGACATGCGATGTTTGCTTTTGTTCCGCGCGGGGTCCCTGGAGCTCCGGACCCCTTCCCTGGGACCGGTTTTTTCGTCCCGCAGCTAAGGGGGTGGGACCGGCTCGGAAGAGAAGCCTCGAGCTGGAATCGGCGATTCACCGCCGATGGGTCGGCGATATGCCCCCGATAGCGAATCCGCACGTTCTCGGGAGGGGTATCGGGCCACCATCGGCGATCAATGGGCGATCTGCGGCGGATGCATCCCCCCAGGAGCCGATCCCCCCTTAACGTTGCCCACTGGCTGTCGGGTCACAACTCGGCTCTCTGGCGGCCGCTCGGGACGATCTGGGCACCCACAGCACGCTCCCCACGAGGCGCAGCTGCCGGAGAGCACTCCAGGGCTGGACAGCCGCCGCGAACGACCACGTTGAGCACCCGCTGCCCCCGAGGTCCTCGTTGAGCACCCGGTCGAGGTCCTCGCCACCCACCCCGAAGTAGCCCCGCACGGGGCTCTCCTCGGACAGCGCCAGGCGCTCCTCGGCGCGGGTCGCAGAGGGCGGCCCCGGCCCGAGGGCCCCCCGGAGGGCGGCCTCTCGCCCAGGAGCGCCGAGGGCCGCCTGCGGCCGCTGGCGGCCATCGGCGGCCAGGGCGATAGCGCGGAGATCGCCGTCGTCCTCCATCCCTGTTTCCCCCCAGACAACATTTTTTTATTCGCGGGTCGAGAGCGCACCTCTTCCGGTCGAAGCTAAGCGGGCCGCGCACAGCTTGGATTAACAAAGAGAGGGGGACAGAAGGAGAGGCCTCAAGTCAAGGCCAGGAGACTTTTCCACCCCAAACAACAAGCTTGCACTTACGGGTTCCCACCTCTGTTCCCCAGGCGCGGCTTGCACCCAGCGGTTCTGCGGAGGCGACCGGGAGAATTGTGCGGGTGTGGCGGGGCTTCGCCACGCTGCGGACCCGTGCTCGTGAAAGCACCGCGCGTGGATGGTATGCCGAGACTGCGCCACGTTGCCGTCCGTGCCGAATCGCGGGCGCCTCGTAAGCGCCCCGCGCTTGGAGGGTATAGTGGGAGATTCTTGCTTACGCCAACTAGCTTGCACCAGATAGTTTACAGCACATAGCTTGTAACACATAGCTCACACCACATAGCGCACACAGTAGATCTTACCAAGCATCGCCTACTCAGCATAGATTACACGGCATAGCTTACACGGCGTGCACCCAATGGTTTACACAGAACAGTTTACACCACATAGCTTACACCACACAGCTTCCACCTCCATAGCTCGCACGGCATAGCGTTCAGCACGTAGATCACACGCCCAAAATTACACCACACACCTTACGCCGCACAGTTGTCACATTCACAGATCGCACCTCATGGCGTACACAGCATGGCGTGTACCGCACAGCTTGCACCACACAGCTTGCACCTCAAGCGTGCAAGAACGCACTGTTTGGGGGCCACGCTGACTGGCACGTAACTTGAATAATAATAATAATAATAATAATAATAATAATAATAATACGAATAATGATGATGGTAATAATAATACTAAAAATAATAATAATAAGAAGAAGAAGAATAGGACAGGTTGGCCGAGGATTTCCACATACCGCCCCGTGCCGCCTCGTGGGCGCTCGTGGGCGCCCAGTCCGCTGGGGGGGTTGGCCGAAGGTCGCGCCGCGCTGCCGCCCCGTGCCGCCTCGTGGGCGCCCAATGCGCCCGGGGGGGTCGGCCGAGGTCGCGCCACGTTGCCGCCCCGTGCCGCCTCGCGGGCACTCGTGGGCGCCCAGTGCGCCGGGTGGGATTGCGCCCTGTTGGCGCCCGTGCCGCCTTGGGGGCGCCGCGTGGCTCACACCGCCCTGCTCCGGTGCGATGACTCGCGGTGTGGGGTCCGCGCTGGCCGGCATCCTCGATAGGAACTCCTCCCTGTCGCACCCAAGAGACGTGTCGGCAGGGCGGACTCTGGACGTTCCGCCCGAGACTACCTCGCCACTGGCGCCCCCGAAGCTCAAGAGTCGCAACAGCTTCGAGCATGGATGGGGGGGCTCTTCAGCATGGGGCTCTCGACTGACCGCCGCGCACAGTCGCCCCAAGAAGCCGGCAACGGCTGCAGGGCTGGAGGGCGGCTCCTTCTCAAAATTTGGGGGCCTCTCGCCTTCGCACCGCGCAGGGAAGTGGGTCCTGAAAGCTCGCCGCAATGGCAGGGAGGGGCGACGATCCCTTCTGCAGAATGGATGCTCCGCTTGACACCTCTTGAGGCCAGCAACCTCAGGTCGGGCACGTTCCCCTGCAGGCGGATTTGGGACGAAAAACTGAAAATACCCCAAAAATCATCCAAAATGGTCAAAAAAGAATCGAAAAAGTGTGTCCAGGCTAGTTTTAAAACTATTCTTGAATCTTCCTCCTGTAGAGGGACAGGCCCGAATTAACAGCAACCTGCCCACCGCGTACACCGGCTGCACGGAAGCAGGGCGGCTCCTTCTCAAGACCCGGCTCCCGGTCGAGGCTCACCGGGCGCTCGCGACCGGAAGCGGGAACCCGTGCACGGGCTGCACAGACAGGAGCGGTTCTTGCACAGAGCGGGAAGATCGCTGGACACCTCGCTGAACTGTATGGTCCTCCATGCACGCATCCTCCAGAACTGCATGTTCGCACGTATGATCCAGCATGAACTGTGTGATCTTACATGCGTCCGCTGGAAAGACGCAAAGCATGCTCGCATCCCTCAGCATCCGCTAGAAAGGCGCAACACAGATCAATTGCAAAGCGGAGCTCCCGCCTGAACGGCAGGCGCATCTGGCGCTGGTATTGCAAAGGGGCGCCGCTTGAAGTGAAAAGGAAGCTTATAGGGATTTATGAGGAGAGACCCAACGAACATCCAATAGGCCTCAGTCTCACAACCCAGGCACGGTAGCGGGATGGGCCGAAGCCCGGTAGATCAGAAGAGCAATACTGTGACCATAACACGAGTAGCAGTAACAACCAGAACAACAGCAAGAACTAACAATAGTAGCAATAAAATGATAACAATAAAAACGTAGGAATGTTGCTTGTAGGCCTATCCATACCGGTAATGGCAAGACAACTTATAAGAAATAGTCGCGACAAGGACAACTACACGAATGAGAGTAATAAATGATATAAGTAGTAGTAAGAAGAGCAATAACCATGATAACAACGATAATACTAGAAACAAGAACAGAAACATAAATAATAATAGACTTGGGCAATTGAGACGCCGAACCACCACGGTCCTTGACGCTGGAGGGCAGCGCGAAGAAGCGCCGCTGCAGCTCCGCGCAGCGTTCCTGCAGCTCTGTCGGCACCGCGTGCCCGGTGACCTGCGGCGGAGGTGGGAACAAGCTGACGAAAAGTTCGAACGAACGACCGAATAAGCCTAGACATTCTGCGGAGTCGACTGCGCAAGAGTGGCACGGAGGAGGGAGAGGAAGGAGGAAGGGGGAGGAGGAGGAGGAGGAGGAGGAGGAGGAGGAGGAGGAGAAGGAGGAGGAGGAGGAGGTGGCGGAGGAGGAGAATGGGGAGGAGGAGGAGGACGAGGAGGAGGATGAGGAGGAGGAGGAGGAAAAACGATGACGACGACGACGACGACGACGATGACGACGATGATGACGGCGACGACGGCGACGACGACGACGACGAGAAGAGGAAGACGAGAAGAACTGGAGGAGAAGGAGGAGGAGGAGGAGGAAAAGGAACGGGGGGGCGCACGGAGACGACGGCGTGCTACATACGTTTTGCCCTCGGCTCTCGAGGACCGGGGGGGGGTCTTCAAACGCTTCCGGGATCTCTCGCGGCCGTTTCTGACACCCACCTGGGCCTCTGGAGGCCCCCGCAAGCATCCAGGTACCTTTGGGGGGTCAGCATCTGGGGCTGAAGCAGAATAGAACAAGGAGGAGAAGGACGACGACGACGACGACGACGACGACGACGACGACGACGACGACGACGACGACGACGACGAGCCGAGCCGGCCGTGATCAATGACCAGGTCCTCCTCTTGATGTGCGAGGGATTCCCCAAGCAGTCAGGACAAAGACATCCTGCTGCGTTTCGCCACTGGGCGAGGAAGGAGGGGGACAAGGGATGAAGGTGGAGAAGGGGGAAGTAAGCGAGGGAAAAAAGGAAGTGAAAAAGGGGATAGAGGAGGAAGAGGAGGAGGAGGAGGAGGAGGAGGAGGAGGAGGAGAAGGAGTAGGACAGGGAGAAGAGGGAGGAGGTCGGGGAGGAGGAGAGGGGGGAGAAGAGAAAGAGGAGGAGGAGGAGGAGGAGGAAAAGGAGAGGGGATTAGGAGACAGCAAGAGAAGAGAGGAAGAGGACAGAGGAAGGAGAGAGAGGAACAAGGGAGGAGTGGGAGAAAGAGAAAGAGGGGGAAACGGAAAAGGAGGATGGTGAGGAGGAAGGGGAATGAGGGGAGGATGAGGCAAGATGAAGGGGAGGAGCAGAGACAGGATCAGGCAAAGAGGAGGAGAAGGAAAAAGAGCAGGAGGAGGAGGAGAAAGAGGAGGAGAAGCAGGAAGAGGACGGGGGCGAAGGGAAGCCAGAGAACGGGCGAGGAGAGAACGGGAGGAGGCCGTAGCCGTGTGGGCCTGGGGTCCGTATCCGCCCTGTGCTCTCTGACAGAACAGTGGCCCTCACCAAAGTTGGCACCCCCTCAGGCCCCTGGACCAGCAGCGCGAAAGCTTCCTTCCTCCGCGCGCTGCGTCTCGGCAGCTCCCGGCCGGCGACGACGAGGCTGCGCTGCAGGATCGATATCCTGCGGCATCTCTCTGGCCGGATCCATGCG